AAAAAAAAAAAAAAAAAAGAAAAAGAAGCAATTTTACATCCTCCAATCATCGGTTCGCCACGTTCTCCAACGAATCACGTCCAATCGGTCGTAAACACGCTTCTCAATTTCGTGTTTCCGCGCGATTATCTTCGATTCGAGCGAAATGGACGGGATCACGGATCTGGTCGGTGCCTTCCTTCTTTCTAACAATCAAAAAACGAGCACGAAGCGCGTGGACGTAACGGCACCGCCTCTCGATGGAAACGGTCACGCGTACTCAGGATGGGAGAAAGGACGAGGAAAAAAGGACCAGAGTGTCGGCCTCTAGCCAAATAGAGACGAGTTGAAACGGAGATGATGAACAAGATGGAAACAAGGAGAAACGGAACCGTCGTGCAAAGCGACGACGAATCGGGATAGTTGACGCATTACGGTTTTCGAACGAATTAACTCTCTGTGTGGTGACAGATAACGATGAAGGAATAATTGGAATAGATAATAATAATATTTGTATCACTCTTACATTATTTTATTCTAATACCGTCTATATCTGATTAATTTCATTTGGGATTTGTATATTGAATATTATTTGAATTTCTTTTGAATCAGATATTTCATAAATGCAAGAAAAATGTTAAGGAATCCTTTCATGGATCTAGAATTTATAGAACCTCTCGAGGATTCATTACTCGTAAAATTTACCTATTTATTTCAAAATATCTACTGTAGAGAATCTCACCTTATGCAATATCACCAATTACAAGATATAATCGCATCTCAAAAAAAAAAAAGAAAAGAGATACAAAAAAAGCAGAGCAACGAAAAAAAAAAAAGGAATGGAAAGAACAGGAGAAGAAGGAACGACGTCTCTCGTGGTTCCGTCGACATCGCGACGAGAGGATACACGTCGTCGGTCCACCATGGCGGATTTCTTCCATTCGTCCGACCCATTGCATCCATAATGCAACGACGGCCGCCACCACAGGAAGGGAAAAGGCTTGCTCCTGCTGGTTGTGCACGCGGTGGTTCGTATAACGGAAAGGCTGCGTCACCGTTACACACGGGGAACACACACCACGGCCGTGGAAAAGAGCAGGCAGGCGAGGAAGAGGAGGGAAGAGGAGGAGAGGGGAGGAGACGAGAGAAGAAAAAGGAAGAGGAAAAAGGCGAAACGGGGCCGTCCGCAAAGGGAGTGCACAGGGAACCGTATAGGAGTAGTCCGGAACATTATAGTGTATACCGTTCGAGTCTCGTGAAATCCTGCCAGAAGATGTCGTTACGCGGGGGTCAGGGGGTTGGAGAGAGATGGAAAAGTTGATGGAAGAAATATGGCGGCGAGGAGAGGATAGGCAAGCAAAAGAGAGGAGCAGGGCTGAGGGGGATGGATGGAAGCGTGCAGGTTGATCGTAGTGTCTGGAAACGGGGCCCGATCTGTGTATGCGATTTTATGACGGCCGTTAAAGGCTGTCGTCGAGGTTAGGTTAGGTTTGGATATCGATGCCGGCTGCGAGTAGTTTTACGAGATTTTGTTTATTTCGATTTTACGAATGTTTGAATGTATGTTTGACAAGCTGTAGGTAATTGATCGTTTCAAGTTTCCTTTTTTTGGAAACTGTTCATATATGTATTTCAATATTGAAAGAAATTTGTTATCACTGTTGGAGAAAAGTTTTGTAAATAGTTTGGAGAGGATATTCCTGGGTTTGAAAGTATTTGAATGAATCATTGATATTAGTATAGACTCTTTCTCCTCGATAAGATCTTATTAAGCTTGGAAATAAGCGTGAAATAAGATGATTTTCAAAAGATCTGCTGTAAAATCACAATGAGAAATGTACAATTTAAAATATATTTAATGAAACTTCCAATTAAAAAAAAGTGTCTAAATAGAATTAAATTAGAATCCAAACTTGATTTTCTCGTTAAAATAATTCAGTTAAAAATGGCTCACGTTTTTTTATTACGGTAAATTATGATTATAAATGATATTCTCGATCTAAAATAATACGATCAAATAACTCGAGTTATTTTAAACATCTCCAAATTGAATTTTGAAATTTACAAATTAAATTTGGTTAAAACGACGAGAAAATACTCTTAATATTATTTATTTTCTAGATTTATTTTCACTTGCTATCGAACAGAAACACCCTCGAGTTAATGAAACCAATTTATGTAGTTGAAAGGCCGAACAATCAACCAACTCTGCTAATCAGGGATTTATTCTTAAACGGTGAAACGTACGCGCAAGGTTCGCATGTTCGCACACCGATACATTGTAATTTATCGCGGTCCCGGACGGTCTGTAATTTCCAGGGACGAAGGCGGAAGTGAGCGCGTAATGATGTACACAGCAACTGCTCCATGGTTGAGCCGAAGTTTTTCGGTGCTTCTTCATGGGAATTCGTTAAGGTGTACCGTATTAAACGACGCCTTAAACGGTGGTGCACGAATAAATTTTCCCGCGTTCCAAACTTTTTCTCCCCGACACTGGTTTCCGTCTTGGAACACAACTGAGAGTTCCATGTATGCAAATTAGACAGAAAATGATATCAACGTTCTCTTCCATCCTTATTACTATTGTATTCGTACTTTTATCGATTTTTGTCTCTCTCTCTCTCTCTCTTTCTCTCTGTGTTATTATATATCTCTATTTTAGGAATCAAATAAATGTGTATATCACTTGATATATTCAATTTAATAATCGAATATTATATTATATTCAAAATATCCAAAATAAAGTATTTCAAAATAAATTATCTAATATGAGGTAATCCAAATATTATTAAAAATAGATAAAATATTAATTATCCGAAATATTCAAAATAAATCTATTCGTTACAAAATTCGAAATATTAAACTTTCTAATATATCTTGTTTCTTCATTTCTCTAAAAAAAAAATACGCAATATAATATTAAGTATTTTGGCCGATAATTTTTCGCGGATCGCCATCTTGGTAGAGGTAATCCAAATATTATTCAAAATAGATAAAATATTAATTATCCGAAATATCCAAAATAAATCTATTCGTTACAAAATTCGAAATATTAAACTTTCTAATATATCTTTTTTCTTCATTTCTCTAAAAAAAAAAAAAGATACGCAATATA